CGGCTCTCTAGCTATCGTCGTTCGGGCAGGGCTCGCTTTCCCCGAGCACGTGTCTATCTCCGAGCAGACATCTCTGGGAATCTCAAAATGCCATGGACTATAGGTAATCGACTACGCTGAGCATAGTGGCAACGTTTGTTTTGGTGTAGAAATGAATATAACTTCGCCAGAGGCATTTTTGTGAAAAACCGCTTTTTCGCCTGTTACTACTATCCATTTCAAAATAGTAAGCCCCGTCAGTGTTGACCTTATAGCTCCGGAACGGTGATAGACAGAGAGGTGCGGTTTTTCACCATTCGAAAGAGAAATATGGAGCTACGATACCCATGAAACAATAAGTTTACTTTTGTCGGATCTTCAAGGTTTTTGAGAGGGTCTTTGAAGGACTTCGGATTTTAGGGATTTTAGGAACTTTGGAGTTTTGAACTTTTTGATTTCATTCAACAGACATCTAGCCCATACCTTTGTCTACATTTTAACGAAAGCCCGACATTTTTATCATATTTCTACAAAAAACGCCGATTTTCCCGCCAACGCGACTGCCAAAAACAAGTTTTTGGCATACCTCAATATGTTTCGCGTGAAATAAACTTTAAGAAAAATCATTTTTGTAGATTTTCGAGTATGCTCTTTCACGTGGTGCCACTTCTCCGATTTTTTTCATTTCTCTTCTTCTCTTCAGTTTTCATGAAAATCTCTTTATTTTTCATTCACGCATCCTCCTCGCCATCCAAATTGATATCAAAGTCCTCTTCTTCATCCAGTTGATCCTCTTCAGCAAGTTCCGGGTCGATCACTTGTTCCACGAACTCGTCCGCCTGCTTAAAAGTCCCTTTCACCCACTTACAATGTTCGATATATGACGTACAATCGTCCAGTGCAGCAATATAGGAGTGAGAAAGGGTAGTTATGTCACTCAGCCGGAAGTGAGTATTGTTTGTTCGAACAAACAACTTCAATTGAGCCCAAACTAATTCGCTCGGGTTGAAGCAACAATGCTTCACGGGCAGACGTATGATGTCCACGTTGAAAGCAGCGATGGCAAGGTTCGTCTTGTACACTTTGGCTGGTACATGCTTGAAAGCGAGCTCTCGGAGTTCGGCGTTGGTCATTCGATGTTCGAATAGAATGGAATGATCCTTGAGCCACTGGTGTAGTTGTGGCTTCGGCGGTGTCGATTCGGCTGTGGGGACGTTGTGCCAGGTTGCATTGTCTATCACAATAGCAATCTTGGCCGTGTCACCGTGTTCGTATCTAAGGCGCTTCGCCGCCTCGCGGACCCATTCGACAAAATGCTCGGAGTTCTATAAAAGCAGACAAAAATGATATGATTCAAATTCTCTTGTCATTTCTAAAGATCTCTTTTGCCAAAATAAAATTAAACATTCCCCTACAGAAGTAACATGTTATATTGTCCGATTTTTTTGAAACATGAATCAGTTACTTGCACAAAATTTCCGAACGACACTCCTTTATCCTCTGAGCAGTTCAATTGGTCAGTATTAACTTTACGTTCGTTTCATAAACTAACCATAGTGTGTTCAGCGTCACTATTGAATATGTCCACTGTCTCCTTGTGAAATCCGTGTTCATTTATCATCGCCGAAATGGCTATCCGCTTCCCTCTTCCATCGTTCTTTCTCAAACGTCCTTGACCTGCCTCGTTGATCCATATACTGCGTTTCTCTTCAGAATATTTCCTGAAAGTTTCAGCTTCGGTGGACATCAGGGGAATTTAGGGCCCCAACTCTACTAAAATTACTTTTGCGAAAAACGCTTAGTCTCCGGAAAACTCTTTTTTCTCCTACCAAAACTAACTAAAATTAAAAACTTTTTTTATTAATCGATAGCCGGGAAATTCAGCTTCCAGAGTATGTGTATTTCATTTTTTCTGAAGTTCGTTCTGTTGACAGAAAGAGCAATATTTTTTAAAGGCTACACAAACCGAACTAAAAATTGTAGCTTACTTTTCTCGATGACCTTAGGCACTAGAGCCAAAAAATTTTCGCCATTAAATAGGCCACTGATCGTTGTATATGTAGAACTCATTGAATCTCTAAAAATCTCACTTTCGTTTTTTCCCCAAATGTCCACGTTGTTGCGCACTGTGTCGCGTATACGAATTTTGGAAGTTGATCTTTAATTCGCTAATCTCGCACTTAATCACATGAATTGTCTTTTCGTAAAGAAATAACAAAAATATAATTTAATTTGAATTATCAAAAAAAATTTAAATAAACTAGAGTATTAGATATTAATATTCAACAAAATTGTCTATTTAATCTATGTCAACATTTTGTCATATGGAATGCATCGTCACATTTAATTATGCGAATAACAACTCAAAAATATGATTTTTCGTTATTTTAAAGATATAATCAATTATATATTAATGATGGAAATAAGTCGTCCATATTGACAATGATAGATGACAATAATCAAATTAATCAAGCATCTTCATAATAACAACCATTATTTCAGCGGTCGATAGAGCTGCATAAAAGTGGATTTTGTCTAATGCCACATATTTATCCTAAATATATAAATCTCAACCAAAGCTTTGTAAGATCATTTATATCTGTAATCTTTGTTATGCTTCTCGATGATGTCAGACAAGATAATTCTACTTTGTTAATATCTACTAAGATGCTGTAAAATGATCCATATATTCAATTTATCATATGTTTTATCATGTAAACGTTCTTCGCGTCTTTTTATCTATTATCAATCAAGAGATATCATTCCATTCGCGTTTGCACTATTCTAATTTATGCATGGTTTATTTTAACAATTTATGATAAAAACACACGTGTTTTCTTGAAAAATAAGGAATAACGTAAAAAGCTACGTAATTTAACGCCTAATCGATCATGGCAGAAAAAAGCGATTGCTCATGAAATACCATCTGAAAAAGATGGTTTATTAGGCTTAAATGAGTATAATGCGTATAAACATATCTATGACTTCCCCTTCACATACAAAAATTGTAAGTTAAGATTCGTCAAACGACTTACCATAATCTTCTCAGTTGTAATAAAAAAACACTGGTAAAACATCAGGCATCCACATAGATGATACCTTTTAATAATATATCTGCACAACAGCTGTTACAACAAAAAACAGCAATAGAAAAAAATTAACATCGTAAATCACAGTAAGTTAATTAAGAGGTAGATAAAATATTACGAATGAAAAATGAAATACATTTTATGCACAATAATACCTTAAAAACGTCTCACAAGCAAAAAAAATGAATACCATAGAAACAATTTATTCGAAAGTCAGAGAAACAATTATTATTTTGTTGATATTTAAATATTACATTTAACTTTTTTCTGCCCGAGTTTTCATTAATCGTAATAATTCCACTGGGATAGGAAAAACAATTGTTGAATTTTTCTCGGCGCTTATATGCGTTAATGTTTGTAAATAACGTAACTGAAGAGCTATTGGTGATTCTGAGATTACATCAGCAGCTTCCTGTTAAAAAAAAAATAAATGAAATTAGTTTGACAAACATTAGAGGTTTGAATATTTGATACCTTCAATGCTCTTGATGCTTTTTGTTCACCTTCCGCGGCAATTATTTTTGCACGAGCTTCCCGAGCAGCTTCAGCCTCTACAAAAGACAAAATTAGAAAATTACAGGAAATATATCAGGTAATAGTAAAGAAAAAAGACAGACCAGCGGCCATTGAACGTTGCATTGAAACAGGTAGGCGAACATCTTTACTGAAAAATAGAAAATTTCGTAATACTAGATCTTTCACGCAAAATATCCTCCAGAGATACTTACATTTCAACCCGCTCAACTTTCACACCCCATGGGTCAGTACCTTCATCAAGGTGACTCTGCATTGCATGTGATATATTTTCACGATCAGATAATATTTCCTGCAATGTTTTAGTGCCACTAAAGATAAGAGACATAATATTCAGTAAGAAGATAGCAAATATTGATTTCGGTTTCTCTCCTACTCAGAAATCACAGTTTGCTTCAAAACTAACATATTTCATTTCAGAATCTGTGTCCTTTCTTGTCTCTCTATAATTACAGTTCATCAGACGAACGGAAAATTAGGTTTATTAAAACTTTAAATCTTGTTCGCTATATCAGGATAGAGCCTTCTTTCATAGATTTACATCTCTAGAGCTGACATTTTCCTTTAAGATCAAATTTGATGTAGTCAACTTAACGCATTAGAAAGTGATGAAAATTATCTGTCAAGCTATACAATGGATCAATTTCTCTTTTGTAGAAACTGCATATCCTTCGTTGAGAAATGAATTCGTTTTCAACATGTAGGACTCGTATTATGGCAATGGAAACGAATTCGAACATCAGTTTCGATAACTTTTAGGTGTATGTGTCTTAAAACGCAACCGAATTGCTCTCAAGTCGGTACCGTGCGAAAAGATTTTTTCATTCTAGAGCTACATTATAATTATCGAACGTTTCAACATTTCTGGTTAAAATTTTTATCATAGCATGTAGTATTCTCACCATAGTCTTTGATCTATGAAAGGGTCGCTCCATTTGAAGGCCGAATGATGAGCTAGGAGATGGGCTCTTGAGTTTTGAATACTCACAGAATATTTCTGAGTGTTGTGGCTGCCAATAATTGTGTTGAATAACGCGCATTTTCTACATTTGTAACAGAAATTATTGGATTAAATATTCGAAAATAGACAACAGCATCAACAGATACGGTCTAAAAGAATTAACATGAAAATTTCCCAAATCGACTTTATACCATTAAGAGTTTGTAACTGACCACAGAATCACGTGTCAATATCTATCAAAGAAAGAAAAATATATTTATATTTATGAGTTATAAAATATTTATTTACAATATCGACCTGTGAGGATATCACATGTTTCCATGATAGAGATTTTCTCAGAGTATTATAAAACTAAGCCCTCAGGATCAACAAAAAAACATTTTTTTACCTCTTGCGGTGGAACATCGAATGTCACTATAAACGTAGAAAACATATCGTTACTTCTACCCATTAACTAAAGTCACACGGATTACTATACCAGTACGCAAATCAACTTTCATTATTGTATCAACGCATGGCAAAATGAAAAAGAGGCCTAAATGAAAGAGTGTGCATGAGCCATGCGACTTGAAATCTTGTAAATTCTACCCTTGCTTACCTGGACCTTTCGCACCTCCCTGTAAAATTCTACCAAGTCGCATGATAACAGCTCGTTCATATTCTTGTACGACCTGAAAATATGTATTATGATCAACAAGTCTTGTTGTGCGGTAGCACTTACTTTAACAGTAACACACAATGAAAATGGAAAGGTAAAAATACATATAATCCATGACAAAATCACCAGTGCATAACCACAGCCACCTATTCCTTCTTGAGCCTGGCGAGGATCATCTAACATAATAAACGAAAAAAAAGTATATTAAACCATCGCGTATTAATGTCAGATATTAATGTAGATTAGTAGAATTATTCGAGAAAAATAGATTTACAATCAAATAAAAAAGTAATAAAACTACGAGGATAAATGAAATAATTAATAGAAGTAATGCAGCTATGCATTTTATTCTATATTTTGCCCTCGACAAACAAACACAAACCGGCATTTTCATAATTGGATTTCAAACCATTACGAAGAGTCTTTTCCGTCTCTTTTATTTTTTTTACACAACTAAAATTGAGTTTCAGGATTATAATAGCGTGCGCATATTAATTTTTATACTCTAGTTTCACACATTGAAAAATGAAATCAAGTTGTGTAGTTATATGTAACACATTTGATTTGTGATTTTAATCATTATGTTTTTTTAAAAAATTGAAGCAATAGCAAAATTAAAAGAGATTTTACGTGTAATCGGGTAGGTTGGATTATTTCTTATTTGTGCTCCTTGAATTGTTCTAACTATAAGAGATTAAATTATATCAGTTATAAGGCTGAAAACAGCGACGTATCCAGCACTGGACCATGGCCCACTCCTTAGAAATTTTGTTTTCGTTAATTCACAGTAGAAAATACTGCAAGAACTTTTTTACTTTTTTCTTTGGCCAAAAAAAGATTTAGCCCACCCCTTACTGGAATCCTGATTATGTCAGTGGCTAAAGATCCTTTTTCTTCGCTGCTAGTCTATTTTCAGCAGACTAATGAAAAAGTGACTTAATGATTTCACTTACTATCTGTAGTAATTGGAATTTGTTCTTGTTTTGCTGACATATTGTCAATTTCGATCGAATTCACTTTGTTAGAACGCTAAAATGAAAAACAAAATATCAATATTAAACTATTTTGTTAAAAAAAAAAACAATTTTCCGCTTGAATAACATAACGTTTTTAATTATTTTTGCACATTCATATTTTTAAAAGCCCAAAAAATGTTTAGCATTGAAAAAAACACTCACGTTCATCATGTCAGTGACTTAATACTATACTGTGAATACTTTAACTGCGCCGCATATTTCTTACTTTTCTTGTTGCTTAGTGCGTCAGTAGTGGATTTACGTCATCAATACAAATGACCATCCATGCGTCAATTACTTTTTCAAAGAAAGTCTGATTTGATTATGATTCACTCATTTTTTGTTGTTCTTTCTTCTCAAAACTGTTTCGCCGTCGATAAAAAAAAATGTATTTACACTTCTTTTCACAACGTGTTCATTATTCAGATATGAGGAGGATGGAGGGATTTATATTCGGAAAAGTGTCAAAAAAAAAGGTCAAAAACTTACCTCTATTTTATTGATTAATTAATTCAGATAAATGTTTGATGATGTTTTTGTTTTAACAATAACGTCACGTGTATTTTTTACAACTTTTTATTACTTTTTCAATTAATGTCGGTTAGAAAAATAAAATCTCTACACACTGAAAGAATTAAAAAAAAGTTTGTCCTACAAAAACACGTCATGATAAAGAATAACAACGAAAGAGATAAAGAGTCATCTATCTTATATTATTCTTTCCTCCCATACATCTATCATCATTTTTTTCCTGTTCGTCATATCAAGGCATCGGTCCGTGTTTGTCATAATTACATAAATATAAATGAGTAAAAATATCATGCCAAGAATAACCAGAAATGATAGAAAAATGATTTCTGTTTGATGACATTTGATTAATACAACATTAATTAGTAATTTCACACATAGTGGTAGATGTATATTCAATATATTACGGCTTATTAGTAACAGAACACAAACAAACTTGTATTCTCGGCCGTCGCGACCAGTAAAAGGATTTTAGAACTATCATCCCGACCGTTCAATGATTCTTTTTTTTTTCGTCTTTCGGTCAGAGTATAATTAAAGGAAAAGAAAAAAGAACAGAGAGGTACATTTCTTCCTCTCTAGTTCTTCTAGTCTAATGACTAAACAGTAGCACAGAAGAACAATAAAAGAAAATTTTGTATTTCCGTCGGTTTCAGTTCTATAATGAAAAAAATATACAAGGTTTGTTGTTCTACTAGTTTCATCACAGACGAGCGAAGAATCAGATGAAAGAGCAAGTTCATATATATGTAGGGCATCAGGGTCAAGAGTCGTTGTCTAGTTACAGTTTGTTTATAATAAAAAACAAAACAGAACTGAAGAAATTGGTCATGAACGACTTTTTTTTATTGTATTTGTCGGAAATGAATATATTTCAAGATATTAGAAGGGAACAGTTGCGATTTGTACACATTTCAGTTTGATCCCGATAATCGCCGACGGGCGAATATCAGTTTACCCTTACGATTGGTTCTGAAGTCAATAAAACAACTGACATTTAATACGATATGAATGGCCCATTAATAAAGTGGCTAACAACAAGCTTTCAGCATGCTTTTAATTGTGAAAAAATGATCAGTTAACAGGCACTATTTATTATGTTTCATCTGACCTTTAATGATGGCCGAAAAACAAGGGATTAATTGTGTTTTATTTAGATAATAATTAAATGGTATTATTTTATTGCGCGTTTTATGAGCCTTACATAAGTAGACAAATAACATTTACCGTAAAAATGTTTAAAAACATGTTAAATGATATTCAACATTTACCCTTCAATTTATGCTTTTGTTTCGTGTTTAGGCATGCACCCCGTAATTAACTAAGGATTTTGAAAATTTTCAAAACTCTGGCGTTTCGTAAATTGCTCGTTAAAAATTTTCTCACTCGGTAAGAATTTAGAGCAAACATTTCTCTACAAAAGGGGAGGTTGGAGAACTCTGCATGATTTGTTTTAAGATTTTGGTAGCTCTACCTCAAGAACACATAATCGAGCGTAAACGAGTATGAAGTACTCGGTTACTCCCTTATGGGATATCGCTGCTGAAATTTCAAAACAAATCACACAGCGTTCGCATTTTGTAGAGAAATTTACGTTACATTCCAGATTTTTGAAAAAATATAAAATTCTTAGTCAATTACTCGACTATATAAGTCATCAAAACTATATAAGTCATTGAAACTTGTGTTGAGGGAGTAACTACTGGTTCCAGGTATGGTGCCGGTGATGGCACCGATAATACGTAGGGAATCGAAAATATTCAAAAATTTGAAAGTCATTTATTTCATGGGGGTGGTCAGAAAGAAATTAGTCATGATCAACAGTCGGATTCTTAGCCATAAACAGTTAATAATTACGCAAAAATGGCCATTAAACGGTCACTATTAAATGCTTGTTTCCAGCCTGTTTCGGGGTCGTTAAAAAAATGTCGCTTTTAGGCATTAATACGTCCCTAGCTAGAATGCCGAAAAATAGTCAAAAAACGATGTTATTTAAGACACATTTCGTGGGCTGTTAATAGATATTTAATAGACGATAAATTACATCGTTTTTAACGTCCTGTATTAATTTTTCCTCATTTGCAATGGATACGGTATTTAATAAAGCAGAAGTATAAGTTAGGAGTAGTATAACTCATTATACTATCTGTGTAGCTTCTAATTACGTTCCGCACAGAGAGGCTAAGAAGAGTTTGAAAGGTATTCTCATGGAACAGTTAAGGCATCAGAATACGGAACCTTGCGGTTATACAAAGTAGTTGACTGTAGGGATGGTACGTTCCCGTTACTTTACTCTGAAAAGTAACAGTTTTCCATGACTAGTTATTAGTAACGGATAATGGAAATCCGTTACTTTTCTAAAACAGTAAACGACTCTTTTTGTTATTTTGACAACCGCTTATTTACTTTATTAAACTTCTCTAATTGATGAAAAAAATTTTGTTCATACATTTCATGTTTCTAACCTGAAAACTGTGTCGAATCTAAGATTCATTACTCTGAAATAGCACTATTCTCTGAAACAGAAGCAGAGTAATTTTAGATATAACTGTTACCCACTGAAAAAAAATTTACAAATTCCTGCGTTGACACGCAGGAATCTGAAAAAATCCTGTGAATGTTGGATATATACTGCAAGTTTTTACATCACGTTACCTCGCCGAAAATTTTCCTGCAAGTTGGTGAGTATAATTGAGCAGGAT